TACACGTCGCGTATGTTCTGGTCTCTAATGTTGCAAGGCTTTGAAGAGTGGACTTGAGCACCTAAATGCTGCTCTCTCCCATCCTGTGCAAGTCCTTGGAAAGCAGTTAATGCAAAAGGTGAATGGGTCCTCCACCCCTTGCTGTTTTTTTGTGACTCAGTGTTAAGGGTCATGATGATGTGTTACAAAAGTAGATGCTTAATCATGAATGCTTGGGTACTCAAGCAAAATGGAATGGAAATGTACTTAGGTGCTTAGTCCACTTGGAGGCCCAATAGATGCAGCCTGCCCCTAGTAGCTTGTTTTCTTTTCTAACCACTCCCATTTTCTTACAATTATGAATACACTGTATCCACAAACTTCATGGCACCTTCTCATGTGTACAGAGATGGAAGAAGCCATGAAAGCCATCTGCTCCATCAAAGAACACAGGGTGGACATTCAGCAGCTGGATTCCATCATGAGCAGTAGGGGCATATACTTAGCCCCAGAGGAGATTCAGAATGCTCTGGAGCTCATTACTTGTAAAGGTGAGCATCTAAAAAATTAGAATGTCTTTTTTCAGGGCTACTGAGTGTTGAAGGGTTTGCAGACACAGGAGGTTGCATTAAGGGTATGCAGGAGGACACTCGTTTTATTTAAAATAAACACTTTGGCTGGATTGAATGGAATCTATTTTTTGATCTTGAATCTATTCCTTCACTCTCATAGTTCTAGCAGCAAAATTGACTCATTGGATGAGGGATGCATTTATGGCCCTGTGTTATGTAGTGTACTATCCCTTGCTTGAGGATTTTAATACTTGTGTAGAAAAGGACATGCAGATACCTCAAGAGGAACTAGAAGCCATGGCCTTGTCCTCCTCTTGAACCACAGTTATGATGCAGATATGAGACCCTTCTTTCTCTCAGCCCTTCACATCTCAGGGCTGGATGGAAATCCAAAACATTCTAAAATGACATGGCTGAGTCCTACTGCATTATTTTGGCGTAATGTGTGTGCAACTCCATAGATAGCAATGGTCTTTCTTGGGTATAAAACTCATGTAATGCTCTGGTGGCTTTGCCCCTGAATACTCCTATGTCTGTTTTCCTTCATTGTTATTTTTAAACTAACTCATCCCTTTTGTAATACTATGAATGTCAAAGATGTTTTCACTGGGATTCATTTGGTCCTGTGCTTTTAGTATGTTAGACAATTACCATCCAAAGCTCTTAGATGGCTTGGGAGAAGCCCTTTTTTTTTACTCAGTACCTATTCAACATTTTTCCTTCTCTGAACTGAACTGTCTCAAGCAGAAGATGGGAAGGTGAATTTGGAAGATTTCATGATGGCTTTGACCAAGTGTCAGCAATGTTCCCGAACTGAAAGTAAGTAGATACTTCAGTGTACGGTACAGAAATAGGGAAGTGTTCCTTTAAATGGCTAATGAACCTTCTAACAGTTCTCAGGATGTTCTGTGTCTTAGAAGTTGTCAGGATGTATGTTGCCTTACCTTATATATTATTGAATAGTTAGTAAATACAGTTATTCTGGGCCCAGATATGCCCATGCTGCTTGCTCATACTATTGTTTTGCTAAAGAGGAAAGGTTGCAAAAGAAATTTTATTGTAAGCAAAACTCTCTGGCAAACAAAGATATTTTAGTAGTTTTCGCCCGATTTTTTTTCATTGAAATGTGGTTGTTTTCTGAACCACTTTAGAAGTGGTTGAAAAACAGGAAAAAATAATTTCATGATAAAGAACATCAAGAAGTTTTTAGCTATTTTCCCATTCAAATTTGGAAGCACTCACAAATTTTCCAGCCAGCTGCAACTGGCGATAGAAGCTGATTGACAGAGCTACATTTTGTGTAATTTTGGTAGCACTCTTGGCGATGCAGCTGTGTTTTGTCAAGAGTATTTATGTATTGTTTATATCAGTGTTTCTCAACCACTGGTGGGACATGAAAGTCGTGTAAGTGGGACTTCAACTCATTTGAAAATATAATTAATTGATTGATAATATATTAATATAATATAATGATTAATATCATACTAAAATGCATGTAAATGTAAAAATACACTTCTTGGGAAAAGGGGCGTTTTGTTTTTATCATGGTGGGACCAGGGTTTTTTGACCAAATGGTTGGTGGGACGTAAGGTGCAAAAGGTTGAGAACTGCTGGTTTATATGAGGTGACACTCATAGTCTACAGTCAAGATCAGTGATCCACTGTGCCAGGTGCTGTACAAACACACCATGAGAGATAGTCGCTGCTTTACAATAGACTCCGGTCTATGGAGTTTACAGTCTCCATAGACCAGAGGTGATCAGCCCATGGAGCCATGGTTTTCAGTCTGTGGGGTTCCCCATGTGTCAGGATATTTGGCAGTAGGGAAGCAGTGGCAATTAATACCAAAATGAATACCGCTACTGCTCCCCTGCTCCAAATTCACAAGCCCCAGGCAGGGCCCGGCCATGCCCCCTTCCCCACACATCTGGATCAAGGCTGGGCCATGTTGCACTACCTTCCCGCACAATACAGCTGGATTGGGGCCAGGCCACACCCTTGCCTCTCCCCCTGCCTCTTCAACTGAATTGGGGACAAGCCCTGCCCCCTCCTTCCTCTTCCCTTTCCCCATCCACACATTTGGCCATGCCTCCTCACCTCTGCCCAGCCAGACCAGTCCCACTGGCCAGATCTGGTCTGCAGATGGATTGGGTACCATTCATCCAGCCCATAGGGCAAAAAGGTTGAGCATCACTGCCATAGACAAAGGGTAGGTCACACAGCAGGTTAGTAGCAAAGTCAGGAACAGAATTTGTGTCTTCCAACTCTCCAGACCACTGTGCTATCCACTACAACCTTCATAGATTTAAGGCATCCTTTAATAGACCCTTATAAAATGCCAATGCATAAAATTTCACTTCTTGTTTGACTACAGAAAAATAATAATGCAATCATTATATTGCAAAGAACTCAGAAAGACTATAGCAGGTCAGAATATTTTAACCATAGATTTCTATTAAAATCTCTGGGTTTATCTTGTGAATCATGTTTGCACACCTACCAGTGCTAACATTGTCTGGCACCTCGTGGCATCCTCGAAATGATCTCAGGGTACCCCAATGGTGCCATAACACCCTGGCTGAGAATCACTGCACCAGAGCACTCTGCCTTTCCCAGGGCTTTTAGTTTGTTGTCAGGACAAGGGGTGATTTGGAAATCGGCACTTTAAAAACTGTTCAGACTAAAGACCTACCAGGCCCAATCCCAACTTCTTTATTAGTCACAAGGGAAAAGAAAATTGGGCATAGTTCATGTGCTTACATGGAGTTTTCTCGGCATTGTGCCTGCCGGCGATTCCATCTGCTGCCTATCCCAGTTTGATTCTCTTCTGCCAGCTCTTGTAATATATAGTATGAAAGGTTTCCCAGTTTGGCTTACTCTTAAAGGAATAACATCCTACAAAAGGAGCAAGATTTCTATATATCAGTGACCTGTAGGGTGCATACAATGCCAGCAGTATTATATGAAAGAGTGGAGAAGGCATATAGACAGATTCTCTTCTCATTTATCTCTATGAATGCCATCAGGGTTACTCCACCTCTCTGCTAGAATATGTGAAGTTATAACCTGGGCCACCGTTAAACCCAGAAGCTATATCATGTAATACAAAACAGAGCAATGTACCCAAAGCAAAACAATCCTATACAGTCCATTGATGCATCACTTCAGGAGAACCCTGATTTCCAAGGCCTGAAACTTTTACAGATACCTATTATTTCTTTCCTTTACCTATTCAAGAAGACAAGGTTAACATCCGAAGCCTGGACTGTATTCTGGACAACATGGGGATTTTCCTAACCCATAGGGAGATCCAAGAGGCTCTGAAGAACATTACTACTGATGGTGAGCGTCAGAAACATGTTTTATCCTTTGGTAAAGAGCAGTCTCCTGCAAATGCAGACCCATATGTATGCAGGTGCATATGTATGGGTGTATGCAGACGTAGTGGGGAGAGGGGTGTACACATGTGATACACTTCAAACAATCCCTAAAATATAGTTACAGTGTGACTTAACCCATCACAAGCCTTCACCACCCCTATATAAATGGCACTTCTATATAAATCAGGGCCCTGGGCACACCATGCTACAGAGTCTCCTGAGGCTACACCCAACAGGACTGTACCTCACAGTGCTACCATGGAAAGGAATATGGCAGTTTACATCTTTCTCTTTTCTCAGTTTAGGTGGTCTGTAGACTAGGGCAGGTGGCACTGCACCGTTTACTTCCCTCTCACAGTTTTAAAACTTTCTGCTCAGCCTTCTTGTTATAACTGCATTTTTTCTAGGAAAGCTAAAATTCTAATACAATCATGTGACTCCAGGGACATTTGGTAGGCACAGGCCTCTAATGCCTATCATTTAGCCTTGTCCTTCTCAGGTTTAGTGCAGGCTGAGATGCATTTCATTGTAAACTTGCCCGCTTCTAATTTATTAGCACAGTGTCAGTGACCATGCTTGCAGCCAGTGGCATAACCAGCAACTTTGGCACCCTGAGCAGAACCGTGGGGGAAGGGAGGTAAATGGGGAGCAGAGCACCAAGTAGCAAAGGGGCTGATGCTCCCTGGTCACTGTTGCCCCGGTGCAGGCTCCCCTGCACTGGGGCAACAGCGGCAGCCCCTCTAAATTGGCAACTGGGGCTGGTGTTGCCCTCACCCCACCCTAGTTACACTGCAACTTCCAGTCAACTCCACTTCCCCTTTGCTTTCTGGTTGGGATTCAGTGAATCTTGTTAGCTGCAAGTGCAAAATGCAGGTGCATATGCCTTAGCAGTGTGTACAATGGACTGTTTCTATGGACACCTTGGGAACGCCTTTTTTAAAATGCTGGCCATGAGGTTTATTTCTCCTTCCTTAACTTTGAACTCTCCTTTCCCTCACAGATTCTGGCAAGGTGAATCTAAGCAAATTTATGACGAGTGTGAGGGCTCTCCGGAAATTCTCCCATGGGGAAGGTGAGCATGCCAGGATGTTCAAAGAGGGATAGGATGTAAAAGTCATAACGTGCTGTAGAGGTGTTCAGCCAGTCCTGCCCCACATGTCCCCATGCATATGTCCTATACAGCCAGTTCCATCTGTTCTCGCTCTACTTGACAATAAGTGCTTTGATCTCCTAAGTAAGGCCTTTCCTGCAAGGCTAACTGTGAGTTAGCACTGAACCAGTGCCCAGCATGGTGCTGGGAGGCACTTGTGCAGGCAGACATGCCACCACTGAAAGTGCCAGGATATAAAATCAAGGTCTGGACCAGGGGTACACAACCCCTGACACAGGTGCCAGAGCGTGGGACACAAATGCATTTTGCTTGGCACGCATGTCTTGAGGCAGGCAGCAGGGAAGGGGCAGGGGCTGCACTGCCACAGCAAGGATCAGGCCTCTCATGGCTCCCCTGCTGTCTGCCCCTGGCACACCAGCATCTTACAAGTCGAAGGTTGTGGGTGTTTTTGGCACTCTGCCCAAAAAAGTTGCTGACCCCTAGTTTGCACCATGCAGGGCTTTACACAGGAAAGCATTTGAGAATATATGGCAACACTGGCATTACTGAACCTGCAACCCCCTAAACACAATGGCTGCTATTATTGTGTTGTGCCACAAAATGGTGATCTTATATATACAGATTATATGCTCACTTACATAAATAAGACTTTTTTAAACCATTATTATAACAAATGTTAAAAACCAAATGTGAAAGTGCCAAAGTGCAGAGCTCTCCAAGGGGCTGGGCATGAAACACTTGTCAGTTACAAACTCCCATTATCGCCTTTTTCTTCCCCAATATCCTTCTTCATGGGGTCACAAATTTAATAGGACTAGCTGACCCTCTTCCACCTTGCAGAGTGCCCCCTTGATGGCCCAGCATGACATAATTTGGGCTACATTCTGTTGCAAGGTGACATATGCAAATTCAGGTGAGTGCTCAAGCCAGGAACCAGAAGAGTTGGAGGGTATTGCCAGAGTCTGGCCCCCATAAGCTGATTTCTAAGACTCTTCAGGGTCACCATTTTGGCCTGGTCCTGCAGGAAATTGCCCAAATTTCCCCTCGGCTGCTCAGTACAGAATAAAAAGAAAGTACAGTCTTGGAGAAGTCCAAATCCAGTATGCCAAGAAGGGTGCTGAGGGCAACAACACGTAGCTGCAGCCAGGAGAAGTCCAGGAAGGTATAGAAAAGCATCTCCTTCACCTCCTCCTTCCAGAAGGGGCAGGCCACCAATGCTATCAGGTCTAAGAGGCAAACAAAGGTGCCACTGGCCAGGGCTCCTTGCAGCTGCCACTGAAGGTCTTCAGTCCTCTTGGCAGTGGTCAGTTCACACAGGGTGTAACAGGTCAAGTGGGCTTACTTGGGTGTTACTGCTGCCAGATCTCAAAGCAGATCCTACTGCTATTCTTGTTGGACATGGGAAGGGATAGTAGGGTACCAGGCCCACTGCTTTTCTGGCTGTCCATGGCTAGAGAGATAGGCAATGGTGTGTCCAGCAAACAGCCATCAGGGAAAATCCATCTCACATAGAGGTGGTTCTCCAGGGCAACAAAATCATCCACAGGGAGGGCAGCCCTCACTTCAACCAAGAGGCACAAAGAAAAGTGGATGGAGTGCAAGCCCAGGCTGCCAGGGCTTCGGCTGGGAGCCAATAGACATGTAGTGCACGTGTGTGTGTGTGTGTGTGTGTGTGTAGTTATGTTGCATGTGTGAGTATATGTGTATTTGCACATGCATGTATTGTGTCCACAGGACAGTTTCTTTCCTTCCTTTACCATTCTAGAAAGGGGTCTGGCTACATTTTGATCAGGAATTCTGCTAAATAGAGTTTGAAATAACACCTTTCTAAACTCTCTGCATTGCTAATAGAGTGCTTTAAAATGTGATCACTGGCTATGAACTGTGGGAAATTATTTGTCTCGGACGGCCAGAGCCGACTCGAGGTGATTCAGAGATTGCTCGTACATTAGGGCGGGCTGGTGAATGGAGAGGCAGACACAACTTATCGGTTGCAAAAACTTTACTCACACCACTTGCAATCACAACGCAGGTGGTCCGGTTGTCTGAACAACCACACGAGTTGTTCCAGCTGGCGGGGCCCAAGCCAGTTAATCCGTCTGCAATTCGAAGCTGGCGGGAAAAGGGTCTGTCTGGTGTTGCGCTCGGTGACGGGAAGAAAGATCGATAGGTGATCTGTCTATTGATCGGCAGCCGCAAGTCAGATCACTTCAGAGGCACTCTGCAGCGTGCTCAAAGCTCTTCGACTTGGGCGGAAGTCGC